TCGCGACGCGAAAGAACACGTACAGCAATTCCTGGCAACATGCGACGATGACAAGCTAGCGGAGAGTCTCTACCACGCTCGAGTCGCCGACATTCACGAGCTCGAAGAGATCATCGAAGATGTTCTCAAGGGGAAGGAGAGGATGGTCAAGCGTGACAGTGAGTACCGATACTCCAAGAGTCGTGACGCGCGACGTGACGATGGATACGCCCGCAACAACCGGCGTGATGACCGTCGCCGCGATGACAACCGAAACAAACCAAGCGTGACGCTCATTGAAGCCACGGTGGATGACCTACTATCTGAATTAGAAGGTCGTGAAGCTGCTCAGGGAGGCATCGAGTATTCAAACGAAGATCCGAACGCTTACAACGATGTCCAAGACGAGTACAACGACTTTCAGCCCGATAATACGGATGGTGATTTCTCATTGGACGAAAACGACCGATACCTCGCCGCTGCTAACGAAAATGAGCGCCGTGCAGCTGCTGAAGGCACCTACGCACGTTCAGACAACCGTCAACCGCGTGGAAACGCGCCTGATCGTGAGGATGGCTTCAATCAAGATCGCCGAAGCGGTGACCGTGGGTTCAATCAGGACCAACGCGGTCGACGTGACTTCAACCGCGACAACCGACGCCCACAGTACGGACCATGCGCGGTGTGCGGTGGCATGAGTCACTCCGCCCACTACTGTAACAAGCGATGCAAGTTCTGCAAACAACTTCACGATGCTGGACAATGCGAACTTTTCCGCAACTTCCAAGACCTTGCCAAATTCGTGCGCACTAAAGGCACGAAGGAGGAACTCCCGCCAGAGCTCAAGGCCGTCGTTCAAGAAAGTCATTTAAACTAGGCTGCCCGCCAACTACAACTGGGTTGGTCCCTATCGGGCAGCCACAGTTAAACGAGCCTTCAATGGAAGCAGAGTGTATCTTTGCTTTCATGGGGCAGAGTGAATGGCCTGATAATTTACGTAACAAGTGTGAACGCGATGGAAAATGAAAAGGAGAGGAGTAGAATCTTCGGTTGGAGGTTTTGAGAGAGAGTGGAGTGTGCTGATGCTGATGAGGGCACCAGCGAGGGTTCGCTCGGCTTGGTTTCGAGTGCAGCGCGAGACGAGCCCAAGGGTCACTCCAAGATTATGAAGTTGAACCCTGGCGAGAGACAGGGGTGGTGGTCGGCCAAGAAATTCGACCGACGGATCAGAATGAGAGCTCTGGTGCAAGGCGCTGTGAATGACCAGCGAACGAGGATCCTCCTCGACACTGGAGCGAACGTTAGTGTGATCACTGACGCCTTTGCCAAGAAGTTGCGACTCCGAGATGTACCCGATCACGGACGCCGCATTGACATTCAAGGTATTAACGAAGGCAAGGTGTCTACGACGCGACGAGCGTGCGTCAAGATTACGCTCGGATGGGAGATGGTGTACGAGTTTGAGATGTGGGTAATGGCGCATAGTGCAGGCGTCGACGTGGTACTCGGGACCGACTTTATGATCCCAGCTGGGATCCGGTTGGACCTGTTTCACGGCGCGGCGCAATTACCGCACGAAGTTCAAATCCCGCTGATTAAGACCAAGAACATGATCGACAGCGAAGAGTACGGCTCCCATGTTAACGCCGGGCCACCCGAGCGTTTGGACACTCAAGCGCACGAGTGGCGAGAATATCGACTAGCGAAGCGTCAAGTCGGGCTGGAAGAACACGTACTGTGGGTTCGTCGAACGAACAAATTAATCCCGTCAGTGACGAGGTTTCGACGTGGACGGCCTCAGAGCATTCGATTGACCAACGTGTCTGATCGAACTGTGTACCTACCAGCACACGACTCGATCGCTATGTGGATTCCAGATGGGGATTTGCCACGAGGTGACGGCTATGTGCGTCTGGAGTCAAAGAAGTACCAGGACTGGCAAGTGTTGGCTCTACGAAGGTTGCAGAGACCGCGAGCTCTTTCAGCGTGAATGTGAAATCTACGAGCAATGGCTTGCAACTCAGCCTTCGGCAGTTGAGCGACCGGACTATCCAGAACCCAGTGGGGTGCTAGCACGGCCTCTAGAAGACTCGCTAGGAGACTCTAGTGATCGTCTGACGTGTGCAGAACGCTGGGCACTGATCATGGAAAAACGTGAGCGAGTGGAGGCCTGTCTGGCGTCTGGGGTGACAGCCGGGGACTCGGCCGACGGTCAACCTTCCGAAGAACCTTTGGACACTTACACGACAGCTCACGGCGGAGGCAATATTGCAAACGAAGCCTCGGTAGCGCGTACACACGAACTACTGAGCCCGGTAAACGTTGTACATACACCAACGAGTGTTCGTGTCAAGTCTGGGGTGACCACGGAAGCGACAAGTAACAGCACTGGATATAATGGAGTCACCAGTTTTGACGAAGTTGTCCCGGCCTTGTGTGCCACCAAATCTGCGAGCGAGACATCTGTGGTTGATCCAGAGGAGCACCTGCTTGATACGCAGCGGTCTACCGTCTACAGTCTCGTGGAAATATGGCTCCATGGAGAAAGCGTCTCGCCACGCCAGTGTCTGCCACGCTGCAATACTCGCAGCGCCCATGCCGCGTTCAGGCAGCGAGGCGCGTCGCACTTCATCGGTCGTCTCAGTTTGAAGAGTTCTTCTTTACCCGCGGAATCTGATGA